TGTATATAATAGATAATATATTTACTTATAATTTTAATTTGAAAATATTTATATATTATAAAAGAAATATATATTATAATATAGAAATACAGATTTATTATAGTTTTTTTCTTGATTTTAATAATAAACTATAATTTAAATAATTATTTTTATTATAAATTCTTATTTTATATGAAAATAAGTATTATTATATACTTTATTTTATCTAAATTATACTTTTATATAATAATATTATATATATTATTTCTAGTTTTTTACTTTATAAATTTTATTTAAGTTAATTTTTCAAGAATATAAATATTATATTAACATAAAAATATTATTATAAGTAAATAATTTTAATTTAATAATAATAACTTTTAATATTCTTTTTATAAAAAAAAAGATATTATAAATTTATAATTTTATTATGAATACATTTTAAATTTGTAATTTATAAAATATAATAACTATTTTATTTATTTTATTAAGTATTAATTACTAAAGAATATTAACTAAAAATTAATAATAATTTTATAATCTGATAAAAAAATTATATATAAAGCAATTAGTATAATAAAGTGATATAAATATTATTTAATAATTATTTTGATATATTTTTTATATTTAATAAAATTAATAATAAAATTATTAATTATATTTATTAACTTAGAGATAATATTATAAATTTTAATACTTATATTAATAATTTTATAAGAAAATTATAAAAATAATAAAATAGATAAATATTAATAAGAACTATATTAGAAAGCTAATTAAATAAAATATATCATAATTTAATATTTTAATATCAGTTTAAATAATTAAAAGAAAAAGAAAAATTGAAATTATTATGCTTATTCAATTATTTATTTCAGAAATTCAAATTTATTTTATTATTATAATTAATAAAAATATTTATTAATATATAATAATGAACACAAATAAAAAATAAAGCAAGAAACTTATCAAACTTGACTAATAATATATCTTTTGTAATTATTTCAAAAATAATAATAGATTATTAATAATATAGAAATAATAGATAATAAACTTGATAATAATTTAATAAATTATCTAAGAATATCTAATAAGATAATAAAATTTAATTCAATAACTATATAAATAAAGACAAAATAAAATAGCAAATATAATTATTTATCTTGCAAATGAATATCAGCTCCTGATTTAACTAATATATATATAAGAAAATGTTAAGCCATATTCAATATTTAGTAGAACAAGTCATGAGGATTCAATATTGCAAGAGTTAATAGATTTAAATAACAATAGAAAACTGATATATATTTCTACATATCTACAAGAAGCTTTAGGATCATGATTTGACAGGAGAAAATTAAATAATGTTAATTGGTCTATGAGTTGGAATATGAATAATAATAATGACTTTATGCATTCATTTAAAGTATAATATCAAATATAACTCCAGGTGATGACATGACAACAATAGATTAATTGAATATCCATCTAATTTACGACAAATCGAGCTATATATAAATATTCATGTTAGGTTCTTACAATTTTATTAGTTAACAACGATGTTAATAATATGCGCATGGCCAACATTAAAGATATCAGTAGCAGTAACAAAGAATTTTGATTGAAAGCTTGTTCTGGATTGACTGACCGACTGTTTAAATGATCTCTACCAGAAAACGATATAAATCAAAGAGTGTTTTTCACATAAATCGTTTCTTGATTTTATATAGTTTATTTTTTTACTCTAACATATTTCCCAACAACTAATGCATGATCACGTTCATACGGTTCCAAAGTAAGTTGTTCTTGAGGTTTGATATGCTCTTCTTGCAATTTCTTAACTTCACGTGCAAACACAGTCTCAGCATCGACCGTAGAGTCGATGCAGTTGGCTTTAATCGATATCACGATATGCCCGTTATTTTTGAGAAAGTGGTGTGCATTCAATGCAATAATACGTGCTTGATCTGGTTGAGCCACATCTGCAAAGATCACGTCCACCATATCGACAAGCATCCGATATTTTTGAGGATATCGAGCGTCTTCAATTATTGGAATGACATTTGTCCGTTTCTTTGCAACATTAATCAGATCTCGACCGGACCGATGTGAGAATTCAACCGCGTAAACAATTCCCGTCTATATTACAATTAATTAATATACAAAAACGCGTTGATATAGCATTCAACTATTGAATATTAATAAGTATAGGAAACTTACTGGGCCAACAATATCAGCTACGTGCGATACTGTTGTTCCTGAAGCAGCTCCAAGATAAAGAACTTTCTTTCCCGGTGCAATGTGAATAAAATCAATACCACCGAGGATACCAGCCGCTAATTTTGACCTAAACGGATTCCATACCCTGTATTCGACTTTTACACCATCTTGGCCTTCGACAGAGATTCTTTTTTCACCATAGACTGATTCACCAGCCACTAAATTTTTTGTGATTAAAAGATCTTCTTTACCACGCGCGACGAATACACCTTAATAATGTTGAATTTGTGTGAATGTATAATATAATTAATATTAAATACTTATTAAATATCGAATAGCAAACCTTGATGTCTGTGTGGTTCAATAATAACTTTTGATCCTCCTTTTGCTCCCCCTCTTTTAGCACCACCCCGACCTCCTCGAGCAGCACCACGTCCACCAGCACCGCGCCCACCAGCACCGCGTCCTCCGCCACCACGTTTTGTAACCCCTTTAATTAAGGACTTATGAAACAATTCAAATAAGCATAACTAGCCATGAAATTAAAAATACCTCCACGAGCTACTGCGCCTGGCCAAAAAATACCAAGAAAACAAGAATTCAAAGTTTAATTCTCTAATTTAATACAGCCAATTTCCAATAAAAGGGAAATCATTATAATTACCTCCACGATTGCCACGGAGGCCACGAATAGCTCCTCGGCCTCCTCCTCCTCCTCGATTACCTCCTCTATCATTACTCCCACCTCGTTCTTTCATTCGAATTCAGTAGATAGTCAGCAAATATAGAATAAAGAAAGCTTTTCATTGTGCGTACTTACTATATACCATTCTTTGATTTTACTTTTTTTTCAAAACTAAAGGAGTGGTTGACGATATGCTTGAACCCGAATTTTTAATAAAAAATCTCGCATAGTTAAAAATTAAAAATTTTAATTTAATTGGTTGTCTTCATCTCAAAATTTACGTGTCAATCAAAAATAACAAATTATTATGCTAAAATATGTTCTCGAATGCAACATTTACAAATTCGAAATTTTGAAAATGAACGTGCTGTGTGCTGCAACTTCAACCTAGTCGAGGATGAACTTCTTCAATGATAATAACAATATTATGAATTTAGAGTCATTTCAAGAGTCAGGAGTCTAATATTACATCTTCACATTTCCCATTGAACCACCCATACGTCTTCGACAAGCATTATTAAATTTCTGCCTCAGAAAAAGAAGTTCCATTATATCAAACAACAAAGAATGTTGATTTATTAATAGAGATCCACTATTATCTTCTTCATTCTCAAGTGTTCGGTAAATACCTTTCTATATATGAACATAATTCAGATGGAGAATTGAATAAAATTCCTGGCTTAGATTTAGAGAGAAAGTTAATTATCAATAATTCATCAGGATTCGAAGATAAAGAATTAGTTGAAATATCTTCTAATAATGATAATAACAATGGCATCCCAGTAGTTATTGAGAACGAGAAGAAAAGATCGTTGTATATTATAGACGTTGAAAATCATAATCACTCAGGAAATAAAAAAATATTCATCATCAAATCACACCAGTTTACAATTGAATTTAAATTCAACTTATTATTTTATATTCGATATTATAAATTAAGAAATAATTAAATTAATAAAGATAAATTTTATTCTTACCAGCATAAATATTTTAACTTACCACTTACTTGTACACGCATATATATTTGATATTTAAAATTATTCACTTCTTGCATCAAAGATTTTATATACATGAACAAATGCTTCCCGAAAGATATTTATTTCTGTGAGCCCAATATTGGATATCTTGAAAGGAAAAAGATAAGATGAGCAAGGTAAGGAGAACACGCGCTGAAAACTAAAAAAATAAAAAAGCTATTGGTTAATAATACCGTATGTCCTGGTTTTAATGATACAACTTTAGCCTTCATTTTCTCTTTACGATTAGCTAGTATTTCTGATACAATGGTTTTGATTTTCTCTTCTGTCTTTTCATCATCATGTAATTTCACTTCACTTTAATTAAAAATTAATTAATTAAATTTTTTAAGTAACAATAATAATTATTATTATTTTTATTGTTACCTCTCCCGGAGTAACTTATACACTTGATACCAATGCAAAGGCAATCGGCTAGTGAATTTTTCTGGTTCTGTTCGTTCTTCAAGGAGAGCAAGTTCCAAATTTTCTGAAAAGTAGATTTTTTCAATAATAAAATGGGAATAAATCGATTTCAAAACTGTCTAATTAACTAACCGGGTGACATCCATGTAGGTACAATAATCTTTTTGACCTTTCGACGTTGAGACCACTTTAACGCAACCCAAAGCGGTACTTGGTCGCGTTTGCCTGGTCGAAAAGGACCATAACTTCTTTTCTGTATAAAATAAATGACATAATTAATTCTACTAATTGTCTATTATGGGAAAAAACGCGTATTTTTATATAATTACACAAGAATGACGCGTAATTTAATCATTTTTTCTTTTATCCTACGTTAAGCAACTCAAACTCTTCTATAGTCTCGAGAGGTTCCACGGTGACCAGTTCGTCCGTTGCAAAGAATTCTATTTCATCGTCTTGGAAATGGTTTAATATTATTTTTTGTCGTTGTAGTAATTCAGACATTTTTTAACAAGATCCGGTCACCTGTTATCTGTTAAAATATAATCGAACTGGGTGTCAGCCTATGGCGGTCAACTATAAGTAACGGCAGACAATTATATAGTGCATGAATGACCAGGAACGTCAAGTGTTGGTTGACTCTAGGCTTGTTACAATAATATTGCGGTAGGTGATATTTATTAGTATAGATATAATATCGCTTGAAAAATGGAACACTGCCTCGTGCGAGATTCTATTTGGCAAACAAAGATGAAAGTATGAAGAAATAGTGCAAGTTCATCTTTATAAGTGCTAAAAATTTCCGTCAGTAGACTGCAGACCAAATGATAGCAAATTAAAGGTACTCGATTGATTGTCGGGTCAAATAGAGAAAGTGATTTAATCCTTTATACTAGCGTATTGGACGTCGAATTGGACTACTAAATGATAAAATTTGGACCGTGCAAATTCTCAGTCTTGATCAATTTGCGAAATTGGAAGCGTTGCGCATTTGTCTTTGTGAAAGTGCCAAACTATTCCCAACCATCCATTGGTTCGATCAATTTTAATGTTACGTTGATTCAGCCATTCCTTGAAGATTTCCCACCCTTCGAAACTTGGCACATCTCAATAGGTTCATTGTATCAATCCGAGGTTAAGCTGTTATCTGATAGATTCTGCGATGAATTATCCCCACAAGTTGAACGGTAACAGCTTCCTTTTATCCAATCAAGTTCAAATGGTTAGGATTTCCGATTTGGTGCCTTTATAAAGAGCATTTGGAAACGATTCTTGAATTCGGTCAAGAAAATGAATGTTGGATTATGTTTATATAATTCTCAGAGAAATTTCGTTTCTTGTTTAAATTATAAATTAATATTTGAAGGTATACATTCAGTTATTAATTCTTACATCATCAGTTATTAATTATTACATCATTATAATTTGTTAGAGTTTATTTTAAAATAGTCGGATCTATTAAGCTCGAATAATATAGTAATTAAACATTTTAATCTGCGTATTATAGTCTTATTTCTAAATGTACATAAAAGCGTATTATAAGTTCTGACAACGATATCAACGAAGAGATATACACTTACCATTTACAATTAAACCCACTTCTCTTTACACATACATCATAGATTCCCAAGTTCGATATAGAGATTTTCAAACATTTTCTAGACTATTGATATAAATTTGTTTATTTGCTATTTGCCCATAAATTTTTTGAAAATTAAATAATAAAATCAGTCAATTGAAAAAATACATTTATTACTTCAAATGTAGAATTGAATACTATGGCACTCGCCGGCTTTCCAAATCTTTTTCCAAAGCTTTCTTAATTTGCTCATGAATTTCAGTCACCCGAACAGTTGCAATTTTCGAGCATAACACGATTTTGTCCATACTTAACGCTATGCCACCTGCTTTTGACAATGCACATATCTCGCGGTGATCATTTAGTGTAAATGTCATGTCGCTTTCACGAATTTGCTCTTCTTGCAAAGTAGGATCAACGACTAAAATTTCACTAAGCGAATAATTTTTCTTAATCAAAATTTATAAATTGAATGCATTAAAATTATTAAAGATATGATACAAACCCCTTATCGAAAAATGCAAAAGTCACACATATTGGCATGTGGTGAACACTTAGAGGGACTGGATTACGTTGTTCAACCGGATGCTAATAGAATCAACCAAAACCAAAATAACAATCAATTTAATTTGTATTTTGCCGGAAGAAACGAGAAATCTACATAAAAAAATTTACATACGATTGTGACTTCAGTCCCTACAAGAGTGACTTCAGGTCTTCGAAAATGCGAAAGAGCAGTAAGGGCAGCGATACAGGCGGCGTCTATTACGTTGCCATCATGCTCAAGAAAGTGTATATCTACCCGTATTGTCCATACCTTTATGTTGCAACTTGAAAATCAATCAATGAGTTTTAAATAGAAGAAATAAACGCGTATGATTGTGATTGTAATCATATTCTCTTTTTTCCTTACTTTTTCACCTGCCACTATGCAAAGTCCTTCCGTATCGATAGCTCTGCTTCTTTTTATAGCTCTTTCTAGAATACGACTCACAAGCACTTCATCTTCTGAAGGTCTATTTACGATAATTCGAAATCACATTTATTAGCCGATATAAAGAGTAAATTGAGCAAGACGCGTCTATTATTAACCAAGACTCATATATTCTCTTTTGATGTCAAGTCATTATTAGTTTCTTGAGATATTATGACGCGTCAATATGACCTTCTATATATATCTAGCGCATCGGGATGCAGTCGCGTAAAGATCAAATGAAAAGCACCTTCCAATGTCGAGACTAGGTATGGCCATTGGCGAAATTTCTGTATTCAATATTAATATTCCTTCAGACCCACGATCCGGATAAGGACGTGTGACTTCACACGAGACTTTTGCTAAAATCCTAAATGCAAACATTAAAATAAAAACAACTTTGCGTTAACGAAAATCCATGAAAATTAGCATAATTCCAAACTAAAATATTAGTTTAATGATACTTTGTGGCACCCAAGTGTACTTCAACATGCCCATAATTGGGACCAAAGAAAAAGCTTAATGGTCGAAAATCATATTTTTCTCGGTAGTCGAGCCGAATTCCCTCACCAAGAGCCTTTAATATAAACGTTTTTTCATTATTTGAAACGTCAATCTCTCTTACCATTTTAAACAAAATTTTTTGGATACAATGATAGATTTACAGATCTATTAAAAGAAAATTTCCGTAAAAACACCGAGGTGCGTACATATGAATCTAAGACAACTATTCGTTACATGCTATGATTTACATTAGACCATCACTTATAACTAATTGTCAAATATTTACAATCTCCAATTCACAATAGACTTCTATTGATTATTCCATCTTATTTTTATCGAACAAGTAATCCCAATCGAAAAATTTCTGCAATGTTACCCATACGATACACACAAAACCCAAAGTAGAGGCTAACAATGACCACCATTTTACGATGCTCAACTGTTGCAACTGGCCCACTGGTATATTCAATCGTTCGACGGGCCAATACCATCGTGACGATAAATATCCTGGTGAATCTTGTGCAGGTAGAAAATATTTTAGTTTCTTGGTATCATTTTTTGGGAAAATGAGTGATATTGGTAGTGGTGTTGATTCGAATGGTGATTCTGAGTAGGGGATATAAAAGTGATGATAAACGATCCGGATATTAAAATAGAACAAAATCATGTCATGAAAAAAAAGTCTTTTACCTTTGAAATTATTTTCTTCTGAATTATTTTTGTCATGACATAATTGCACCACCATTGGCCATGCCGTGAAAGCGGGTATATGACTGCGACTTTCAAATATCCCGGGACCCACCGGTTGTTGATATCGCACGTGAATAGGTAACTTGGATTCAACTACCGTTACTCCTAATGACGTCTCTTTTCCCTCATCATTAACCTCATTATCATCTTCTCGTAGCGCATTTTTCTCCCATTCTTTAATTGAAATTACACTCCCACACTTTGATCCTATTGTCCCAACAGGTTTTTCTAAATCTGTTTCACCCCAAATTCCAATTTGATCTTTTTCAAAGATCTCTTGAACTTGATAAGGATCGACGAACAAATATTCTGGTAAAATATGAATTATATAATTTTGACATGATGAAGATTTAGTTGATTGTTTGTTGGGTGTTGTAATAAAAGTGTGAAATTTAGGGTGAAAACTTTGCGAGGGTGCTATGTAAGAATAAAACTCAAATGTATCTGAATGTAAACTTTTTGATTGAACTGTAACCATTGTAGGTACTTTTTTTTTGTTATAAAAGTAAATCAAAAAATTGTCAAATCAAGTAACAATCAAGTTAAAATCAAACAGAGAGAATTAATTTGAATATCATACGCACATATCCTATTTTGGTCTTGTCCAATCACCGTCCTTAAACCGAAAAACGTATCTTCACCAATTGGTGGCTCGAAAAGACCGATCTCTACTCTTTCGTTGTTAAGTTTATGACTCTTGGCTATCTCAATGTCGCGATCACGACACCACCAAACGATCCTTAAATCAACTATCGGCGTGTTCAGCTTATCATCATATTTTATTACAAAATCAAACAATGAAGGAGGTGATTGATGCTCGTCATCGACAGCATGTCTCATGAGATTTTTAAGAATCGACAAAAAAACAGATAATTGGTAATGAAAATTGCGGGACATGTATAAGTACGCTTTAGATTCATCGCCGTCGATTATAGAAATTGATTTCGTAAGATCTATTGTGTCGTACTATGTGTGTTAAAATATATTACTGATACATACTCTTGGAATATAAATAAATTCTATCTTTTTTTTCTTCTGCACAGACACGACTAAATAAACTATGTACGAGCATATATAAAAAGAAAGATCTTAGTATTTTTACGTACCTTCAATTTTCTATATTGCTCGTTGTGACCACAAGCAAATATTCCAAATATTACATCTAGAAACTTACAAATATCGACCATGTCTTGTTGATTTACAAAATCCCATCTATATTTTATATAAATTGAGGCGACGTATTTCTTAATTAAAGACTATACTTGTTTTTATTTCATACCTTTTTTTCGAATTCTTAACTGGATTAAACGCTGATACTATTTGCTCTTTTTTAACCGATATTCCCACATGTAGTCCAGGCAATGGAGTAATAAAATATGGTGGAACCTGAACGAGATTTTCTGAAGCAATTTGAATACGTGCCGTCCACTCTTTTTTCCAGGAAACAGGCTCTTCCATTATAGCTTGGGGTGGCAAAATTCTCGACTCTACAAGTGTCTTTTTTTAAACAAAAGAAAGAAACGAAAGTTTTTGATGTCAAATTTATCGAATGTGAATTTCTCCCAAACTGAATTGATTGGCAGGAAGACAAACGAACCTTTAAGAAACTGTGAGTGGGTACGACAAGTTTCCATTCATAGACACCGGAGAAATCTTTAACACGAACCGTATCATTTTTCCAATATGAGAAGGTCTCCTCGCCGTTATTTTCTTCGGATTTTTTACTAGCAGTATCTGCATCAAAAAAAAAGGAATATCGATGACGGAGTGTAGATACAGTTCCGTGCACGAAAAGTAACACTATTAGACACGTCAAGTAAACATGAAAATATTTCATCGTGTCGAGCATATGCCGAAACTTTTGGAATTCTATTTTTGTAAACCAGTTTGATATCTTTCCCACGCAGTGATTTTCATGCGTTATGATTATATGTAATATCATTGATTTTCTATCTATGCTACATAAAAATGTTGCTCCTCCTTCTAATCGGCTTCAGGATTGTCAATTCACTATTGGTTAGAACATACTTTGTACCTGACGAGTACTGGCAATCGGTGGAAGTGGCACACAGGATAGTTTTTGGATATCCTATAATTTTTTAGACCTTTTTTTTCATTACTAAACAAATGTACGCGCCTTCAATAAGTTTTGATCAAATAAAAAATCCTTAATGAGATATACTTATGGATATTTGACTTGGGAGTGGCGACGTGATCAATTGCGCAGCATCGCTCATCCAATTTTATTTGTAGCGGTGTATAAATTACTTGTGTTTTTAAGGATTGATCAAGTTGATGAGTTCATTGTAAGATTAAATTTGAGTGATTAATTCTGCATTTTTATTTGTCGTTTTAAGAGCTCTTCCTTTTTTCGTGCTTGTTTACCTATAGATATATGGGCCACGTATTTTACAAGCGTTAATTGCCGCTTTCGGCGATTTATACACGTACAAACTGGCAAGGCGCATTTTTCGCGAAGATCGAGTCGCTAATCTTGCCGTATCTTTTTTATTAATTACGCGCTAATCCGTTTAAAAGAAAGATGTATATCCTAAATATGCCATAGTTATTTTGTTCGCTTGTTTCATGGTTTAATTTTTATTGCTCGGTACGAATGTTATCGAATAGTGTGGAGACAGTTTTAACTACTGTGGCCTTGTATTACTGGCCATGGCCATCATTTGCAACCAAAGATACGAGCTGGAAAGAAAGATCTAGGTCTGAACACTTTTTCTTACAATGCACTAATGATTTAAATTAAACTCGATCTCCTTTACATTTCTTCATAGCATGTTACGTATATCTTTATCAATCGCGGCACTGGCATGTATTTTACGCCCTACAAATGTAATTATATGGGGATTTCTCGGAATAGATTTACTTCTGAAAACTAGGCCGCACTTGAATTCAATCATCTTCAATACAACCTTAATAATGTAAGCATGATCTCAAATTTATTCTTTTTCCAATTTTTATTCTCAAACAATCGGCCTATTTCAATCATTTCTGCAGGTAATTTGCATTCTACCATAAAAATCTTTCATTACTTAGGATCTTTGCCATCGTGCTGATGATTATGCTCGACTATACCTTTTATCGTACCATAGTTTTCGTGCCTTTTAACTTTTTCCGTGTCAACGTGTTCCAATCGATTTCGCTTTTTTATGGTACTCACCCCTGGCATTGGTACTTTACCCAAGGAATTCCGGCTATCGCCGCTAGCTTTCTCCCATTTGTTACAAAAGGTATCATCTCGTCAGAATCACATGCGCCAAGAGCGAAACCTTTTGTGTCGCTGATGCTTTGGGTTATCATTGGATACAGCTTTCTCGGTCATAAAGAGTTCCGTTTTATTTATCCCATTTTGCCAATTGCTATAATATTCTCTGGATTTGGTTTAGCAGAAATCGCGCGAACAGAACAATCTCAGAACTCCATACATCGTCATTATTTCAAAGCATCAATAGTATTTTTGATAATAACTCAAATACCATTGGCTTATTATACAAGCTTCACCCATCAACGCGGAGTTATTGATGTAATTAATTACTTGAGGATAGGGGTAAAACAGGGAAAAGTGAGAGATATTGGATTTTTGATGCCATGTCATTCAACGCCGTTCTATAGTAATATGCATCAGAATGTTACAATGTGGTTCTTAACATGTGAACCGCCAGTGAGGTAAAGGTAATTTGAAGTTTTTGTCCTGGAAAAGTAAAACTTGTATAATATTAGACTTGTAAATTATTAGTGATACGACCGATATCAATGAATCATCGCTAGACGAAGCAACTATATTTTACGCTGACCCTCAACAATATTTGACTAATCGATTTGAGCCTTTAACAAACAAACAAGAGTCAAATAACGGTGTATCAAACAATATTATTAGCATGAATTCATCTCGTGAAAAATGGCCAAGTCATCTTGTTATTTTTCAAGCTTTATTAAAGGATCTTGAACCGTTTATTGATAAAGCGCAATACCATCAGGTAAAAATTAACGCTACTTTAATTAAAGTACCACTTTTTTCGATCTATAATAATTTTTTTTTGGTTTTAAACAGTGCGCAAGATTTTTTAATTCCCATTTTCACGATGATTGGCGACGAAGAGGTGATGTTATCGTATTATGTCGTGATAATATTATTGAGTCTTGATTTGACTTTTTACGAGTCGATTTTGTCAAAGTTCCAATTTTTTGCAAACATGACCTCAGTAATCGCTATATTTGGGGTCCACTAAAGTGATTTCACGCGTCATATAATCCGAACTGGATCAAGTTAATCCGGAACATGCGATCATAATCATGTGAACAACATGCAAGAAAATTTTAGTATGAAAATTAAATTTTGAACTCTAACATTATCTTATTGGATGATGGTTTGCAGCTTTAGCATTTTTCCAAATTAATTATTTGTCTTGGTAACTGTAGTTTCTCCTGATCCTTACTATTGAGTTTTGGAAGCGTATTAAGTGAATTATCGTTTATTTTGACTTGTGAAAGCGTGCTGAGTGAGTTATTTAACGAGTCATTGCATATTTGACTTGTGAGGACGTATTGGGTGACTTATTGAGCGAGTCATCGCTCTCTTACCATTTCTTGTGGCCAACAAAAATGTATTAATCCAGACTGGTAATCGATACGGATCCCAATAGCGATGGGATTTACCTGAACTTGGGTAAATAGCTGGATTATGCAGATCCCAAAATTTTTGGTTTTAATTCTGTTTACCCAAATATTTTTAACATAATGTTCAAAAAGTCGGTATGAATAAAATGTTTGTTTTATGTCATCCAACAACCAAACTTTTTTAATGATAACTTTGAATTCTACTCGATTTTCACTTAATACATAGGTTCAACTTCAAAGAGGATGTCTCGACACAGTCACAGGTAAAGTCATCGGTGCAGCGAAATATTCGCTCCAAAATTCTGGATCAGTATAAACAACTGGAATCAGTAGTGGATGAGGTGCTCCCGAAAAAGACGCCATTGGTTTTAATAAAATGGTAAAGTAATAAGAGTCATTTTCATTTATTTCCAAAAAAAAATTAGGAATAAAAGTCTTAGTTTTTGTACTAGTGAAAGATAGCATTGTACGTACTTTAGGGAGCTATACGTTTCAAAGTATTTAATCTTTGAACTTTTGATATCCTTATTCTAAACTTCAATTAAACTACGTTTTTTAACTAAAAGCCATGAACATATCAACTTGTTAACAATGAACAACGAGATACTGTTCTTTCAACATTTCGATGGACCATATTATCCGACTCTGCGTCTTCTTCATAAATGTACTTTCTTACTTTCTTTGTGTTTGTGCCCGAATTTTAATTCCGTAAAAACTTGATACTTTGTTCCATCCTAACTTATTGATCTCAATATTTATCTTGTCTGGATATTTTTTTAATTAGATCCAGATGCATTTCCACGTGTTCAAGTAGACCGTGGCGCGATAAAATTCATTCTATCTGGTGCAAATATCATGTGCCCAGGATTAACATCAAAAGGTGCAAAAATTGAACAAGAACTTCCGGCTGATACTATTGTCGGGGTATTTGCTGAAGGGAAAGAGCATGCGATTGCGATTGGATTAATGAAATTGTCTACGGAAGAGATGTAAGTCAATTCTTTTTTTTTTTTAAAGATAGATGGGGATACTGGGTCAAAACATGCTGAATCCTAATTAATTCTTTATTAATTTTTCAACAGTAAAAAAGTCAATAAGGGTATCGGGGTCGATAATATTCATTATCTTAACGATCCTTTGTGGAAGACTATAGTGGAAGTCTAGTGTTTGATTTATTTTGATTTAATACTTATAGAATCTAATAAAACATTTCAAATTAAAAATTACTTTGTGAATTGTGAAATCAAAGATGTGGATTATTTTTATTATTATTATTATGTATCTTTGTTATTTGCTTTATCAAATAAAATAATTTGATGAATATGATGAATAAGCTCAGATCATCAACTTTCAGATCTTTGTAAATATCAGAAATTTTAATTCTAGCAAACTACCAAATCACAAAATGGCAGAATCGCGTCAAACAACGTTACCACCACATGCGCCTCCAACAGAAAGTACACGGACTGGCTTATACCACCCCACCCTTACAGAAATTCAACAAGACTCTATTTCTAAGCTTGCTGAAGAACACTGGGCTCACAAAGATCCTGAGTCAAGAAAGTGGGATGCCTCAGTGGTTGAGAAAATTTACTATAAAGAGTTGCAAGAGACTGGGTTTGCAACAAAGAAATTGATGTTACTAGAGTTTAGCCAGTATCTTGAAAAGGTGAATTTTCGTTGTTATATGATATTAAACTTGTAATATACTATTTTATCAGGGTATTCAATTTGTTGATCAAATTTTTAACTGATTAAAAGATCCCCCTTTATGTCTATTATGTGGAAAGAACAAAATATGCTGACTAATTTGTTATTTTAGTATTTATGGACGAATTTTGACGCGTCCAAAGCTTCGTTAGCTCATGTGTTGTTAATAGTCTTAATGGTCAATGAAAAATTCAGGGAGCGTGTATCAGCTTGGGGTCAGAAGATCGAATTCAATCTTTGATTTTTTATTGAATCTATAATTTTATTTTGATGCTAATTATCATGCTCAAATCAATTTAACAGATAGCTTCATGAATATGCCCGCACAATTTCCAGAATTCTTTAGTCGTGTTCTGCATCTCTCAGTTTCCCCTCTAGTAGATAATTTGACGCTGCAAGTTCGCCGATTTATCTTGATTTTTTTGATACACGCTTTTCAGAGTTTAGAGAATAATCTTGTGAGAAAAGAATGTTTACGGTAAATATTAAAGATATTTGGAAAATATTAAGAATTTATGGAATAGGATTCAATATTTTTTTTAATAGATTGGTACCTATATCTATATGGCATTGTCTTTCTACACCCGAGAGAAGGGAGGCTGAATTTCGTATGAATAAAGAATTAAAAGACACTTGGGCGCGTGTTATTAAAAAATATCGAGCTGCTGGTAGAGTAGTATTTTTTATGGTTTTTTTTCACGCTCTTTTTTAATTATTTTCACCGACTATATATAAAAAACTAATTTATTTATAAAGAAGGAGCACACAAGCAGAAATTAGAGTTTGAAAGATCATGGCTAGCTGAACTGCTTAAGGGATTCGTTTCAATTTTATACTCTATACCAGAAACGGGACCTAGTAAAGTACTCTTTAATCGATCAATTGATTGATTGAATTATGCTAATATGCAATTAAGTTTTTTTATTATTCGATGATTAACTATATTGTTATTATTTAAAGCAAATGATGATGCTGTGGCTTACTGTGAACGGTTTCTGGAATTTCTTATCGATCTGGAAGCCCAACTTCCTACCAGACGATTCTTCAATACTCTGCTTGATGATCTTCAAATTGTTGTGCTGTGTAGATTAGCTCCAATAGTTAGACGCAAGGAAGGCAGGTTGGAGCAATTGATCAATTTTGCAAATCTGCCATTTTACTATTATTATTTTTTATTGTGGGATTTTCTTATTTACGTTATTTTTTATGTATAGTGAGCTTTTTTTGCAACTTTTGGAAACGCTAAAATTCTATGCTGGTTTTGAAATCAATGATTTTGATGGATCAGCCTTGGCAGATGACGAGATGACGGCGATCCATTGTAAAAAATTGACTGAATTACAAGTAAATGCTCATTTTAAACTTCTATATTATATAATTTTGATCTTCAGTTACCGCTAATAATAGTTCTTAATTTTTCAAATCAAATTTTGTAGCATATAGCGTACATGCACTTCAAAGACTCACTAAACTCGTTAGCTTTATCTAATTTAGCATCGATAGAACGCCGATCTGACTTACATCGACATTTCGATTCT